GGGTATGTATGGAGGGTATGTATGGAGGGTATGTATGGAGGGTATGTATGGAGGGTATGTATGGAGGGTATGTATGGAGGGTATGTATGGAGGGTGTGTATGGAGGGTGTGTATGGAGGGTGTGTATGGAGGGTATGTATGGAGGGTATGTATGGAGGGTATGTATGTATGAAGGGCAGTGAGAAAACGAAAGAGAAGCAATGGGTGATGGAAGAAGTGAGGAAGGAAAACGTATGAGAGAAGAGATGTGAAGGATGGATGGAGGATTGAAGATTGAAGAGAGAGGAGGAGAGGTATAAGTAGAGAAGACTCGGGAGACTTGCTCTAACATTCAGATGGAGATAGTAGACAGTACCAAACTGATGCCATGTATATTAAGTGGAAATCCTTGCAATCCATTGGAAATAGTTGTCATTCTGGTCTGCACACTTTGGAACGAACCACCGACACCACCGTGGCAAGACCCACTGACGGAATGCTCGCGTCGGAGAACCATGAAGGTGTTGACAGATCACCTTGCAAGAGTCATCAGAAAGCCCAGAAGGCAGCAAGCTGTGAAGACTGTCTGTGTCTGATACCTGGCCGCCTGAAAGTCGAGCTGCATTGTGAGGTCGCGAAAGTATGTCGAGGGGATCTGCAAGGCTGTGATATGAGCCAAGATGCAAGGCTGCGGGTCTGCACGAGGCAACCAATCGAGCGCGGGTCTGGTGTCTGGTTGGCGTGCTTGTTGGCGTGCCATCTGGTACGGCTCAGCCTCCCTGATCCAAGGAGATGCACGCTGATGACCGACCTATCCAGCATCCCACTGGTGCAAACCCTCGTATCCTGTCCACATGAGGCAATTACGAAAGCTTGAACCCAGCTTTCTCTGCTATGCCAGCATAATCCATCTGACTTCGACTTGCACGCTGGTGACTGACGTAGCCACAAACAAAGCTGCCACTGCTGAAACTCCCGCATAACTTTTCGGATCTTGAGTGATATCAGATATGCAATTCGCAGGACTGTATCTGGCCACATGATCCTCCCACAGAAGTTGAAGGTAGAGTTTCCTCGCAATGCACTGTCGTCGACTTCCATTTCCACTCCACTCCACGCTCACGCTCACGCCGCGCTTGATCTGCGTTTGAACCCAAAAGGTTGCCATTTCTGCAATTGGTCAATCAGCTGCACCCACTGCCCACTGCTGTGGGGTGAATTGGACTGATCCGAAGTGAGGTCAGCAACGCTTCCGAGCGGCGATCAATGCTCTCTAGGCGCCCCAATTGGCAGTCGAGACATTCTGTTGACGCCTGTCAGGACATTAAAGACAGAGTCGGGTAATGACAACTCGGGGCCACCGAACAGTATTCGCCTTGCAGTATTGCCGTGTGTGCTGTTTGACTTGATGGCCGGGAGTCTGAGAGTTTGTAATTACGAGCTCTGAGGTGACCAGTCGAAAGTGGCGCACTCAATTTTCGGTCTTGATGACATGGCTAAAGCTGTGTTGATATCGCTGGAAGGGATTGATCTCTGATCCGAGGATGTACGGTATAGATAGTGCTGGTATAAACGCCGAGCTTCGCGTATCTCATCGTACCTCGCCTGGTCGTGCAGCAGCGGCAGCTACGTCTCCCTCGATGTTTCGCACGCCTGTCTCTCCACGCCGACCTTCCCACAGCCGCACCCAGAACTCTGGAGGATCCATTGGCCTTTGGCCCTCGTGCAAGCCCGGCCATACATCCGCAAAGAAATAATAGATGTGGCCGACCACTACACCAAGAATCTCATCCTTGGGAATGCTGCCGTGCATGAACATGTGGAACCCCATTAGAACCCATGGCAGGTATGGCGCAGTAAACACAAGCACCCCAATAAAGCTGAGGCGTGTGTCGGGGTTCCGGCGCGACCAAATGTACACCAGAGTACTGGATAACGCCGAGCCCAGAAATGGGATGGAGGTTGTGAGGGTGCTGAGAAGGAGGAGCGACGTGCAGGCGTACAGAAGTAACCAAGAGAAGACTGCAGGCGAAGGGCCAGATCCTTGTTCTAACAGTCGCGAATATCGCTGGAGGAAGAAGATGTGGAAGGCGAGATCAAGCGAGGGCGGACCGAAGTATATGAAGGTCGTGAACAATCGCCAGTACTGCGATGGTCAACACCGACTCCATTGGTCTGGTAAGGAGGAACTACCAACCTGTGATTTATAATAGACTGCCGGAAAAGAGTAGAACAGTTGGAAAGGTGTGATCACTTTGCATTGCAACAGGACGGACGTGATGACCGTAGCAGTGGTCCAATATCGGGTACATGGCGGCATCTCAAAAAACCATTGTTCCAACGGAAACTGGCCCAACTGACCCAAGGCCTCGTCGCCGCCTCCGAGTAGGGCTGCCATTATCCAAGGTACGAGACGAAAGAAGGGTAGGATCGTTCGGGAGAAATCCGAAAAGAAGTCGGCAGTCTGGAGAATGGGGTAGACTGGGCAAAGGATGGACTGAGTCAGGATTGGGGACCGCAGGTCGGAGTAATCATTGTGATATCTGTCTGGCGGCGGTGTAGGTGAGAAGATGGGAAACGACAGGTTCATGTAGGGTCGATGAAGCGCAGTAGTAGTAGGTGGCCTCTATCCTCGACATGGACGTGCTGAGGATGGAATGATGTCGAACGCAGGCTGGCTGCCGACGAAAGGCTGCAAGGGATGCATGCCACTGGGCGATAAGCTCGGCTGGGGCTTAGGAGGCCCTAAGGTCTTAGAGCCCCTAAGCCTAAGCCTAAGCCTAAGGAGCCCAAAGGCTTCGTTTCCCAAACTCAAGGCCACGGATAAAGCAGCCCAGCCGAGGACCGAGGACACGAGGACACGCGCGCCCAGATCCTGTAGAACAACGCGACGTCGCTACGCTCCTGGGTCGTTGATCTGCTTCCACTGTCGTGACTATTCACTCCGAGACACCACAACGGGGAGTCTGTCCAACGCCAGAACAGCACTCCATACTCCATGCAACAGACACGAGCACCCCGAGACGCCTGCACACCCGACTATCACGCACCCAGCCACTAGATTTATACCCCGCGCACCTTGTCTCAGCAACCATTGTGTCGAACTATCCTTCCTCTCTGAATGAATTGGCTGCCATAGCACCGAGCGCATTATCCTAGCAACATGGCCCGTACACAAACCGCGCGGCGTCGCTCAGGGCCTGCCACGCCCAAGCGAGGGAAAACCATACGGACAAACCCTTCACCAAGAACGTCTGGGAGACGAAGTCGCGCGCAGCGTATGTGGTTACCGCGGGAATCCTCTTCGTTGCATCTGCTAACTGCAAATCCAGCTGGCGATCCGGTTCCGGTGAGAAAACCGCACAGATTTAAGCCGGGAACGATTGCGCTGCGAGAGATTAGGAGGTATCAACAATCCACGGATCTCCTGCTGCTCAAACTTCCCTTTGCACGCCTTGTGCGGGAGATTGCGCAGTACATCTTGCCCACACATGCAGCCCATGAACTCAGGTGGCAGAGCCAAGCGATCCAAGCGTTGCAAGAGGCGAGCGAAGCATTCTTGGTACACCTGTTCGAGGACACCAATCTCTGCGCCATACACGCAAAGCGAGTGACAATCATGCAAAAAGACATTCAATTGGCTCGGAGGCTGAGAGGCGCATGGGGCGGCCTGGGATAACGAGCAGACCATGAACGATTCTGGGAGGGAAGGCGTTCAAGAGCATTATCGGCTATCACAGTACGGCCCTGGTTTGGTTATGGGTGTAGAGCATCACATTGTATGGTTTTTTTGGGGCGGACTTTTGATACATCTTTATGGGAACCGGCTGGACTTCAAGTCTGCACACGCACTGCGATTTGCTGGCCAAAACCCCGACCGGGCCATGACCACTAAACTGGCTATGGTCAGAGGGAGCATTGCTATCCCATTCTCTTTACTGCCTCTTCTATTAACGCCCGGCATAAGTCCCAGAGTATCCGTGAGATCTACTCAGGTATTGACGCTAGAACCAAGGACGCCTTTCGTACTCGTTACGTCGCCACTACCGACAGTTCCTTCAACCCTCCTCTCGCACGCCTGCCTACATGCCACCGCAAGGGCTTTGAATGCGCTCTCCGCTCTGTGGTGGTTGTTGTGCCCATACACGCACTTGACATGAAGAGTCACACTTGCAGCCTGAGCAAAGCTCTCCAGCCCATGCGTCAGCATCTCCGTACTTAGATCGCCGATTTTCTCTCGGGTAAAGCCAAAATCAATGACACTGTAGGGTCGATTAGACAGGTCAATGACAGCCCACGACAAGGCTTCGTCAAGGGGGGCATCGCCTCGGCCAAAGCGGACGAGAGAAGCCCGCTTGCCCAAAGCCGCATTGAACGCAGACCCGATCGCCAGGAAGACATCTTCAGCTGTATGATGGTCGTCAATGATCAGATCCCCGGAGGCTTGGACGCCCAGAGACCATCCAGCATGTTTTGCTAGGGCATGAAGCATGTGATCTAGGAAGCCAATGCCGGTGGAAATGGCGATCTGCTGGGTAGGCGTTATTTGTGTTGCATGGTGTGAGGTCGGCAACGGGATGAGAACATCTGGATATGATTGTTTTTGAGCTGTCGGAATCGAAGAAGGAAAATGCTGGGACGGTTCATAGGCGAGTAGTGAGCCACCATCTAGTGAAATAGAGACCCGGATCTTGGTCTCGTTGGTATTGCGGGAGAGTGTATGCGTGCGCCGCGGCAATGAGCCTGGCATGGTCCGCTCAAGGGATCCCATACTCCGGTGGTTTCAGGAGATTCAAGTCTGGTATGTCCGGCTGCTGTTAAGATACACAGATCGAGGATTGTGTTCGGTCGTGCAAGAAGGACGATGATACGGCGAGGCAAAACATTTTGCGGCAGTATCGACAATAATGGTGCTCCACTGCCTGCAAGTGTTGAGTGGTGCAGGTTGGCCGAGCTCGAAACTCCGCCCGTCTTGGACCTCGACATCACTGACTACCTTAGGTACTGAACCACTGGTACCACCGGCTGCGACTCACCATCACCCGAACCTGCGCTTGTCAAGCTCTCATGTGAGCTCCAGACCGGCACAATGACCATCAATCCCACCTATCTAGCCCAGCGCACGCGATCGTGTACGTCCTACCCCCCCGGTCGACTTGAGGCTTCGTCGACATGACTGACCAATACACAGCGATCAATTGGTCAGATGCACACCGTCGAGTGCTGAAAGCCTACCGAGAATGGCTGAGGGCGGTATGCGTTACTACCTCTAACTTGTCTGTCGTAGGAGTGTATAGGCTAAGAACGAGACACAGAGCCCTGAAATCCAGACGATGTATTCCCTCAACATGCCAGTCTCCAAGATCCGCACGAAAATAAGACAAGAGTTCGAGAAGCACAGATATGTCAATAGCATACAAGCCGTGGATGTGCTGATTACACACAGCCACGCGGAATTCCAAGTGGGTGGTGTTGGAGATCTGGATGACGTGGCATATCACTAACAAGCGCGCCATCGCAGGAGACGTTGAATTTCTGGAAACAAACGCCGCACGTCATGAAGTATTTCAGGACTGAGGAAGACGACAATGCCAGATTACCAAAGAACTTCATCAGCGGATTCCTCGAGGTAAGTCCATGTGCTCATAAGAGGGTGGGTTATAAGATGCAGGTCTAACAAGTTGTACAGGGCCGGAATTGATCGACTTGAATCTGTGTCAATCCCACACTGTATATAGCTAGATCAAAGTACCTGAGCGCCTTTGCGATGCAGCCAGAAAGCAAAATCCGGAGAATCATCCTCATGATTGTCTAGCATCAAACTCGTCTCGTGCCTCAGTGAACTTTTCTGAAATAACACCACAAGCTTCCATCATATCTTCCAGGCCTTTCCTGAGAGCATCCACTGCAGTCGTTTTGGTGTCTTCTGCTATTTGTCAGCTTTGGGCTGTACAATAAGCGGCCTCAATCGAAGGGCCACAAATGAGTGGCCACTTACCCCAGGTTTGGATCCGGATGTTCATCTTGGTCTCCGAAGGATGCGGGATGGTATATCCGCAGAATTCAACGTCAGCGCTGTACACCGTTAGTTTGGCGACGTGCTGGGCATCCTGAGGAACGAGAATTACTTCTTGTTGACAAAGTACCGTAGCGCATTCCCGAGCGTATGGTCTTCTTTTTCAATCTGGAATGATGCAGCATGTGATGATGCACCAGGAAGCTAGATGCCAGAATGTCAGCCTCATCTGTAGCGGGGCGAAAGCGACCTGGTAGAGGGATTAGATTCGATGCCCGCCTCGACTTACAACGACCAGTTTCTTTGCCCCGCCCAAGAGCAACTCCTCGCTGGGATCAGAGGTTTCTTCCTCGATCGGGCTATCTCGCATAGTGTCCGACATTTCCCGCGGCGATATGGCACTGGCAGGTGTTCACAGGTCCACAGGACTTTGGCAAAGACAACAGCGCTCGCCGAAATGGTTTTTACTGATTTGCAGATATTGAGCTTGGCCGAAAAGCGTCTAGCTTCGTCAAGGCTTTTAGTCCTGATGGGGTCAAGCGTCTGCGGCTTGCGCGGGAGACCTGTCAGACACGAAAATAAATTCTCAGCAAGACCTTCTAGGCACAAAGCAACACAAAGCACACTCTGATCACCGGATAGACGACCGAGTCAAACTGGTCTGACAGAATTGAGGCGCTAGGCTGTGCCTTGCTATTACCAACTACCTACAACCAACTTGAACGACATATACTTAACACATACTCTTGTACTATACTCTGTACTTCACCTTAAGTGCACGTCAGATCCATACATGGCAACTCGGCAACCGACCATGAGAGAAATTCTAGAACTGAAGGCTACTTTGCGGGCTTGATCCTTCTCCCTGCCAGAAGTGACAGGACCGGTCAATGTATGTTTGTTGGGATTCGTAGCCTCGCGGGAGGTGACCGACCGAACGCCAACTGGACTTCATTAACTTCTACTCGCGAGCAGGTCCTATGTCACACCTTTACCTTCGGTGCTCCCATCACTCCATCCATCTCGTGTACTCAATCATGTTTGAGCCCATTGCTGCTGTTGGGCAAGCTTCACATCAGCGGGTAAGCCTTGGAACCCTTGTGCACAATACTACCTACCGCAGTCAGAGTTTCATTTTCACTTGGTACGGAGTGAGTCGCTGGAGTGCATTTGAGCTGAAGCATGACTGCCACAATAGCAAGTGCTAGGAAGGTACAGTGCAGATACAATTTGGAGGCTCTACCGGTCCGCCCGACTGATGGGACCGAATACTCAATCCGCAATGGGGAGATCCCTCAGAGCCGGATTCCCCTTGCGCATTCAGCATCCAGCTCCTTATCAACTCGGCCTTCAGTGAAGTGGAGAGCCATTCAGCATTCCCCTCAAGTTCTGACGGAAGTCGGAGCAGTTCCGACTGTTGCAGACGCCTAATGAACTATGTACGCTCCAGTGGGCTTAGAACTGGACAACCAACAGATGAAACCGTCGTGGTCTTTTGCGTCTTGGTGACCGAGACCTCGCTGGGACGTGTCTGCTCTTTGCAGCTCGCAACGAAGGCCCGTTCACAGTCGTGTTCGATTTGTGCGACAGAGACTTACGCTACATGACAGAGAGATTGAGAATATACCTCACATGTACTTGGGATATTTGCCAGGCTTGTTTTGATAGGTAATGAGAGTGACTGGTCCAGTTATGATCGGCTTTGTCGAGGAAATGAGATGCTCGAAGCTGGTGAAAACCATTGGCGTGATTTACTTCCTACGTTCCACCAATATTCATAGGATCTGTGGTGACGGGCACACTTGAAAAGAGGATTCCAGCAATATCTATTCGCCACAATCAATCATGAGGCAATGGTCTCAGTTGTAGCAGCTGCCATGACATCTTGTGTTCGCCGGAATCCAGCTCAATAGGCATTCACCTTTTTTAGGGGGCACGAATGCGAGATATGTACCTCCAGCGTACTCCGCTCCAGTGTAACGACCGTCCCAAATGTTGACATTGCCTGGCCGTACAGTAGATTGCGATTTCCGCGGCTTTGGTCCTCCTCTCCGACCTCTTCCCTCCCGAATGCCATGTACAGAACACAACGGAGGCGGAAGGCCACGAGGATGGGCGTGTGGAGGTCAAATCAAATAACACTGTTGTATCATGGTCTGAGTCGAGCCAACCAAGACACCATAATGGTGATGGCTAAAACTTTGGCTGGGACCAAGTCCGAGCGTACGTGAGATGGCGCGGCTTGCGGAGAGCCTTTGCGAACGTTTTTGCCTAGACGATGGAGGGAATTCTCAGTTGGCAAAACAGGTGTACGTCCCATCCGCGTATTGGCGTTGATACCTCAGATGTTCTTCAGGATTGAGCCCTTCACATTGCGGACTTGATTTCTTCTTCGACTGCGTCTCCTCCTGCTGATAACATAACGACGGTGACTATCCCAGTCGGTATATCAATCACATCAAGTGTCCAATGTCGTAAGTATAGCTAGATTATGAAGATCATCTGGCTGCTACAATAACAGAGCCCGCGCATCTGCCAAAAGGTCGACTGGATTAGGTTTCTTTCAGTATGTATGTGGCTAGACTGCTTCGAAGAGTGCACATGGTGGCGTAAGCGAGACAGGGATAAAGTGGGATTGCAGAGACTAGGAGACGCTGGTTGCCTGTCAGGCGTTTCATGGTGATGCATCATTCGGCCATTTCGACAGTACATACTCCGTAGTATGTACTCCGTACGCACACCTGCCTCGTGGCGCGGCTGGGAATGACTGAAAACCGGCGCCTGAAACTAGCGAAGCGTGAGGGGAACGTCAAGAAGGATCATTGAGTGATCGTGCCCGCGATCGTGGTCACCCACTTTCTGGGTGGTCGGGAGAAACAATTTCACCTAAATATTGAAATGGTTAAGGATGGTCACACAGTGGGCAAGGGCTCCGATGTTTGGGACGGCGGATGAGGATGGAACTGGTCCTGATCGTTTCGGCCGGTCCAGAAGTCGAACAATCTGGTCTGCAATAGGGTCAACCACCAGAGCGTTTCAAGCTCAGCAGCATCATCAACGGGCTTGGCCTTATTGGTGATCCCGAGTCTTTGGAATGATGTTCCCAGTGGAGTAGTATTAAGTTCGACCATCATTCTAGACAGTCCATTTTGCATGCGAGGATGCAACACTCGAACTGCGGTGAGAGATTAGTGCGAGAGCCACGAACATGGGTTGCTGGGATGTCCGGGCTGATAGCCTATCAAGAATGCACCTTGTGCAACCTTCGCTACAGGCTTGTTGAGGAGAGTTTGGGGACCGCTCAAGGTCCAATAGGACTCCGCCCACGCCCGTCTTCGGCGACAAGGTATCTAAATGCACCATGTCGGTCTCAGCCCGACTGCGGTGTGTGACAGCCATTTCGTAAGAGGCTGATGTTGGGATCGATGATCGTTTGGGTCGCGCAGTATCCGAGGATCCGGGATACTCTGCCACACCCATTCGAGTTACATTGGTCGAGAACTCGGACAGCAGGATGGCACGAGGCCAGAAGGTCGCCGAATGGTCTATGGAGGAGCTTGGGGAGATGCTTTCAAGTCAAACGCGATGGCGGCGGGGCGGATCTGAGCTGAGGATAAGGATCAGCGCGAGACGGGAACAGGGAGTCAGGGACAAATCGACCGTGCCTCATTGTTTGCTGACTTGCTGAGGCGGCTGCGCGAACATGAAACACCATTTGCCGCACCGTGCGTAGAGGGGAGCGGGCTAGGGGCACCAGGAGCTGCAAAGTGGCGGAATCCTGATGGAGGCAAAGGTCGACACGAGTGCAGCCGACTACCACGGTCGCACCCAGAAGTCTGAAGCCGACTATGGGCAAGAGTGAGACTAGCTGACGTCGAGGGCGCAGGACTGGGGTGCTAACAGAGCAAACTAACGAATTTCGAAACGAAAGCTGTCGAAACATTGCATGGATGGTGACAAAATACGGAGTATTGATGTTCGCAATAATTGCGGTGGTGTTTTGTTTTAGTTAAGATGGCGCCGCGCCTGGGCGCGCACTCTGCCGCTTCAAGTTCTAATTGGGATCTGACGCTGACCCCTGGAATCATGGCGTCTTGAGGTTAGGATGCACCATTGCTACTAGGTGGCTACTATACGGAGTACTCGTACGCGTACGTACTCCTCTCTTTCAAGCCCAAGCGTTGAGTGATTCAGGTGCTGCCAGTAGGTGGCGGCGCCCCTGGAAGCCATGGCACCTCGAAACTCTAGTTAGACCCGCCCAACCCTGACCCGGCTACAATAGGCGATCGAGCCTCCCCAGAGGAGAGCCAGTGGCCACTGCCGCGCCTGAAGCAGTGACTCTGGGCCTCCCTCCACCAAGAAGGAAGGCTAACGGCGCAGCCAAAACAGGCCCAAACGTCTAACCCAGACACCCCAGTCCCCCCAGGGTGCCTGTAGCCAGTGGCAGAGGCTGCCTTAGGGCCCCCTCCTCCTCTGGCCTGCAAGCTGAACACCAGCCCTGCCTCTCATTCGATCGATTTGTTCCAACTGCCATTTCCTCCTTCTCGCCCGCCCGCCCTTACCTTTCCTCTCCTCCTCTTCCCTCCGTCAACGTCAAGACCAATCTATACAAGGCCGGCCCTCAAAGGACGACCTAGCCGCTCGTTGCCTTCTCACCCCGTGCTGTTCTATACCTCTCTGCCCTCACAGGCGCCTAGCCTTCCGTTGCTATCACGGTCACTCGCTTTGAACAAGGTCGCCTAACCACAACCGCTGCCCTGCTTCCCACGCTGCCATTCGTTTAGTCGACTTGCCTTTCAACCACCTCGAGTCCGGTCCAGCCCGGCGGAAGCTCAGTGTGCAGGTGTTGCTGACGGGAAGCAAAAGTTGGATATCTACGTAGACGAGCCGCGTGTGCGACATCCACGGTCGTTGTCGTCTCCGTCCGACTCATCTTCAGCATCGCCATGTCGACTGCCGTGGCATCTTCTGCGATCGCTCCGCTGCCACCACTGGATCGAAATCCCAGCCCAAGGGCCTACGCTCCATTGGCCCCTTCGGCCAGTATACCGCCGAGAGAGAAAGCGTCCGACGCTGCATCAAATTCAGAGACAAATGGTGCCAGTAATCCGAACGAGAAAACCCCTTCGGATGGCAAAAGATCTCCGAGATCGTAAGTCATACCTTCAATATGCTACCCATGACGAGCTGACCTCCTGTTCCTTGTGACAGAGCCAGGAGTTCCGGCCATCCCAAGATTTTCGTCAAGAAAGAGCCTCCTACGTCCCCCTCCCTGCAAGCCAGCACCCGCCACAGACCCAAGAAGTTGGACTTGAATACAAATACAGCGGCAATCTCGGCCGGCCTCAACTCTCGTCCCTCGGCAACCCCGTTGACTGCCAGAGACGGGTTGACAATGCACGATGTTGGGTTGGCCTGCTTGTCACCCGGTTTTCTGACTGAGGACCCGGCCATGCGGGAGCAGTTGGAGCGCAGCATTTCTGTCCGTGACCAACAGAGATCCATCATCCAGGCGAGATTACTCAAGTCCGCCCGTGGGGATGCGCCCGATTCCGGAAAGACAATCGAAGCTCCGGGTTCGGCGACCAAGACCAGTGCAGTCAACGCGAAGAAGCGACCCCCTCCAGGTTTATCGATTGTCCCTCCTCCAGCTGAGCGCTTTGCCAACGAACGCGTCATTCAATCGGCACCCTTGAATCAAACATTTACTGGCAGACACGAAGCCAATGCTCCTTCAAGTAGCCAGCACTCCAACTTGTCTCAAACTTCACATATCCACCATATGCCAGCCATGCAAAACATCAACCGGTTGCCCCCAATTACCGACGTCTTTGGAGCCAGCGAACTCAACCCCGGGCCAGCCCGACCACCCTTCCTCCAGACCAGCTCAGCTCCTTCTCAAAGTCATGGGCCTCCCCTCCCTTCCCCTGGGTTCCCGCCCCAAACTGCTCATCCCATGTCTCAGCCACCCCACCCCACTTTCGATCGATCTCGCGAGTACAGATCTGCTGAGGAGGCTGTGCACGAGATGACAGGAGGACGGGAGGAGCTGCTGCCTAAGATTGTCCACTATGGAGGCCATCAGCCACCAACACCTCCTTCACCGCACCCTGGCTATAACGGTAATCTCACACCGCATCAATATCAGCCCAACAGTCATTCCACAAGCAAACGGAGAAGTCGAAATGAGTACGAAGAAGGAAGCAGTCCGCCTTTGGGTAGTGGACGGGAACGAATTCCCTTTAGTGGGCCTTTTGGTGAAGGAAGAGACAGTCCGGCCACGCAGAGAGCGAAGAAGGAAGAGTTCTTAAGTTTGTGCTCGAGGGCCTGGGACTTGTTCCACTCTTGAGTTAACAGTCGTCGCCTCGTCTCTTCGGAACTCTTGTCTATATCGCCATTTCTTCGTCTCTGACTGGGCAATGGCGCTGCCTGGTATCACGGATTTGATGGCTTCCTCGCCAAAGGCCAATTGTTGGCTTGGGTTTACCGTGTCCGCTTCGGGGTGCACGATTTTGGGGCTAAGAGTGGATTGATGCCGATTGACGTTATCGTTTATTGCTGTGATGAATTTTCAAGGGAACCACACTGTTTAATGACCAACAGGACAGGATGGACAGGGACTATTCTTTAATGCCACCAGGATTTGCGACGAAGGCGAACGTGTCACTGGGCGGGAAGGGAAAAAATGTGACGGACTATATTCCGAGGCGAGGATTAGTGGATGCACTGCGACTGCATTGTGCCTGCGAAATGGTTGATGATTGTGGACGGGGTTCTTGGAGTCAGTGACGCGATCTCGTAGGATAGGACAAAATGTTCAGACATGCCGTACATTGCTGATTGCTCACTCCTGCCGACAACTTGAGACTCAGGCTTCTGTCCAGGAAGAAGGCGGCTTTAAGAATGGTTAGAGAGAGTTATGCACAGGTGTCATACTATATTCGATGGGCACCTACAGGGCAGGAAGGAGGATGGACTTTGAGGATACTCTAAGTAGTCGGTCAGTAGTCCAACTAGTGACAGGGAATACAATGAGCACTCCGTACTCGTACAGTATCTACAGACGCCGAGTCAGCCAATTCCAGCGATAGGTATAAAACAAGGAAGGGATCAGGAGCATTACTATCATCAATATTTTCTATTGTTATAAGCGAGACGTGCCATCACCCCACCACCGGATAAGATGCGCGCCCAAGTTCTCGAAACGTTCAAGCAACCATACACGTTCCGAACGGATATCCTTCCCCCGCCGCCGCCGGAGGGCTACGAGATGCTCGACCGCGTCCTCGCCGCTTCGTCCTGCCATGTCGATGCTGTCTTCGCGTCGGGCGCGATGCAGCAACATCTCCCGCGTGTAGGATTGCACGAGTTTGCCGGGACGGTGGAAGCTAAGCTATGGGCTCGGAAGCCGCCAAGGTCGCCAAAACCACAGGACTCGCTAGGGGCCAGCTGGTCGGCGTCCCTGGGCGGGCGAACGATGCTGTGGGGGAGTGCGCCGAGTGTACCGACAACAGGGGCGACGAGCCCGGATGCGGAGTCTGGTGTCCGCGCGCGGCGAATCTCGGTCTGACTCGCGACGGCGGGTTCCAGGAGTATTGTCTTGTGGACGTCCGGCAAGTAGCGCGGGTGCTGGATAGTGAGGGAGCAAGAATGCGCGCCGTCGATGTCGCACCGCTCATGTGCGCTGGTGTCAGGATGTGGAATGCCCCTGAAACTGCGGGCGTCGATGTCTCTGGGTCGGCAAAGGCGAACGGATAGGGCAGGTCAATTGCAATAATTGATGCGGCGGGCGGGCTCGGACATCTGGGTGTCCAGTTCGCCGCGAAACTCGGGTGGGATGTCACCGCCGTCGACACAACGCCTGCTCTGGTCGTGTTGAAGGACGTGGTTGCAGAACTGGGGGATGACGGGCGGAATGTCACGGTCGTTGATGCCTTGAACGAGTCGGTCGAGAACATAAAGAAGCGACCCTTTGGCGACGCCCCTCAAGGGTGCGAGGGCGAGAAGGCGTGCGATGCATCTCTCGTTCTGCCGGATTCACAATCTGCGTTTGATTTCGGCATGGGCGTCCTCAAAAGCCACGGTACATGCGTCTGTGTCAGCTTTCCGAAGGATGGGTGGCGGTTCAAGCCGGGCGGTCTGGTCTTTCGGCACATCAAACTGCTGGGCGTTTTGACCGGGTGCAACGGTCAATTGCAGGCCATGGTGAACTTTGCCGTAGAGAACGGCGTCAGGGCCAAGGTCAGAACGTATCCTTTGGAGAAGCTCAATAACTTGGTCGAGGACTATCATCATGGTGTGGGCGGAAAGGTGGTCGTCGATATGACATTGGAGTCATGACAATTGAAGGATAAAGCAATCCGGCTCTTACTTTGTAACATCGCCGTCATCATCCCTCGCGTCTCGCCCGAGGCATGTCTTTGGCGTCTTTGCCCTTTTCTCTCTTCTGTCGTCTCTTCTCTGCCTTATCACGCGCCCGCTTGCCCATGCTTTGCAATTTCTCCTCCTTGGCCAGTTTCTTTACTTCGGCCTCTTTCAAGTAATAAGGCTTCGATTTCTCTCCTGTGCGCAGAGCTGCCTTCTGTTGCTGCTTGTGCTTCTTGCGTATCTCGTTCTCGCGCTGTCGCGCTTCTGAATTGCGGATCTTTGACTCGATCGACATTACTTGCCGCTTCAGATTAGCGATCACTTCAGGGTCCTTGGTTTTCTTGATCTGGGCTTTCAGTTCGAGAATCTCGGCGGCTTGGTATGTAGTGAGGAAGGAATAGTTCTTGTTGGCCTTTTCCAAGGTATTGGGGTCGCGATTGGAGGACATGACAGTTGGATCGAAGCGTGGATCTCGGAATTTCAACGTAGGCGGCGGTTCGAAGATGGTCCTCTTTCGTGACACAGGTTTTCGAGCCGACTCAATAGCCGGCGCATGTTTCGAGCTTCGTTTCGGTGCATCGACACGAGGCTCTTTGGCTCTTTGACGAGTATTGAATGTCTCTTCTTCGTTGTTCCCCCCGTTGCCAGGCACCGGATCTCCCAGCGTTTCTGCCAGCTTCCGCTTCCTAGATTTAGGCTGGAACTTCTCTTGGGCCTTTGCCAGCGCTCCAAAGCTGATTTCATTCAAGGGCACGTCTTCCTCTGATCCGCTGAGGCTGAGCTCGTCGGCATCCTGGCAAACATCAGCACAGTCAACGTGAGTACGAACCGGAGCGTCCTACCTCTTTCCCAGTCTGCGAGTCGCTCTCAGTCTGAGCAGACTCGCTGTTGTCTGAGTGATCGTCGTCGCTCACTTCCTGGTCCGAAGACGCCAGCTCGACATCTTCGTCGTAGTCATGTCTCACTTGAACAGGCCGATCCATGACCGAGACGTAGGCCATTGATGTGACGATGTCTAGGCTATGTAAAAGCAATTTCCCCGTAGAACTGAATTCAACTTTTTTGCAAAAGCGGCGAGCCGCGACGGGTGATCGACAGCTCTAATGTGTCTAAAGTTGAACAGCACGCCATGCCTAAAATGGCTCAACGCTGAAGTTGGGGTTGCGAGTTGCGAACTTATGGTCCCCTCCAGGTGTTGATTGCGATCGCATCCGACGCTCCCTTGTGTTTGCTCAAGTTGGTGTCTGGTGGTGCAGCCGTCGTTCTTAGTTACACTGGAGAGATACGCCTTGCCATGCGAGGCAGCTCTCGGCCTTTGCCTTTGCCGCAGGAATCCATCAAAAGTCTGGCTTCCTGAACCTCACCCTCACTTTTCTTGTTCCTTTACAACTAACACCTCTCTCAGTGGCAGCACAACCTCCCTGTCTCCTCGACTGCTACTACTTCATCTCGACTGCTCCTTTCTCGCCGCTTCCAGCCCATCATGGGTCGAGGCAAACCGGATAGAGCCTTTCCTCCGCCAGCGCAGGCTGGCCAATATCGCATACCTCAAAACGTTACCCAACACACCAATTATCCAGGGGCATCTACACAACATTACTCGATGGATCATGCTACTCAGAACCAACAAGGTGAATGCTTTGGTGCCTTCCCTCAGAACAGAATTGACATATACAAAATAGTGGACTCGTGGAGATCATACAGGAACGATACAATCACTCTCCAGACCTCCACAGATCCACAACGTTACCAAACAACTCATGACCCCATCATGCACGACTCTCAACCGCCGCACCTCTACCAAGGCCACTTGCGAGAAATTAACCCTGATCCGTCCTCGTATCGACGCTCTCAACCGCAAGGCTCGCAATATGCGCCGTATCAGGCACTCAGGTCAGTCCATAATTATGCTCGATATCCTACATATCGAGTTGACCACCCATACAGAACCCCAAATGGAAGTCATGAGAGACAGGTTGTTCCACAAGCACAGCGTGCGTCGGACCGGGTTGCTCCTCAAAATACATCTCGATACCCGTTTCGACACAGACGTGTTGATCAGATCGCGCCGTACAGCACGAGAGCAGCTGATGATATACCTGTTCCATCAATCGAAGACCACAATGTGTCTGCAGACTCTTCTGCACCTCCAAATCTACCAACACGCAAGATCGTGGGTCGCCGCAGCCGTACACGTACAGCTACCCCTGAGTTCGTTGAGTCGCCACCTCCGCCAACTGCCAGTGCTGAGTACAAGAAAAAAGCCGCATTCCCCCCTGCACGCAGAGAGACACCTCAGAAGCTTTTGATCGTACTTGATCTCAATGGAACACTCCTGGTCAGACCGAACCGCCGCAAGGATCCTACAAAATTCAAGATCAGGCCCGGTGTCACACAGTTGTTGAACTACTTGTTTGAACATCATATTGTCATGGTGTATTCTTCCGCCCGACCAGAAAATGCAATGCCCATGGTGACGAACCTCATCCACCCAAAGCAGCGACAGCTGATGGCAGGTGTTTGGGCTCGAGACAAATTGGACTTGACCAAGGCACAGTATAACAGCAAAGTCCAAGTCTATAAGAAATTGCACAAGATCTGGGATGATCGGACCATTCAAGCGAAAGCCGAACCCGGTCGAAAGTGGGATCAAAGCAATACTATCCTCGTAGACGACAGTCAACTCAAAGCACTTGCGCAGCCGCACAATTTGCTGCAGGTTCCGGAATTCGAAGATAATGCCCCTCGAGAAGGAGGAAAAGCGCTACGGGACTGGCAATTGAACGAACAAGCCAACCTTGTGTCTTTGGAGCAGAAGCTCGAGGAACTTAAGTGGCAAGTCGATGTGTCGAGGCTGATCCGAGAATGGCAGACCGGCAAGCGGCACGCCCCTGGTGTCGTCGACGAAGCAGTTGACCAGAAGACCCATCGTAGCTTTCTGCAGCAACACCCGCCGACTCCCACACCGAGCGTTGGTCAACCGGACACTCCTGAGAATAGCCGTCAAAGCCCTGCTCAATCTAGTGGTCGTACAACAACCTCAACCGAAGACGAGACGGACGCTGGTGGCGGAGTCGACATCTCCGGCATATCCATTCTCGATACATTAGAGGAGGAAATCGATCGCGCGCTACACCCCGAGACTGCGGTGACGAACGACGGTCGGCGCAGCGAATCGCCTATTGACGAGAACGTTTGGAAAGAAATCCTCAGTGGCAGCAAGAAAGGTGACAAGCAGACGGAGAAACGCTCGTCCAGCGCTGTCCCCCCGACTCCTGAAAGTATGAGTACTTGAATTGCATCTTGGAAGAGGGATGCCAACCCCGCTACTCTCTATCAAGCGGAAATAACGGTCGGCTCATGACGGGCAGGTATCGTCAGGCGCTGTTGATAGATGAACAACCTGCGGAGATGGATTTGCTATATTCTTATTCCCCCCGAAAGTGCAACAGGCTAGCAAAATGCGAATTAAAACAACAGCTTGTAGGGTCGGTACCGCCGGAAGAGAAAAGTGCAATCACATTGAAGAAACGAGTACTCTTGACTAGCCATCTCAAATTAACTGCAACGCTGGCTTCTCTGCACCTATTTCCAGCTTACCGAAGCAAAATCCTCGAGCAGAACTTCATCAATCATCTTCATCATCTCAATCGCTGGTCATCTGAAATCTGTTCGCCATGCCGTAAACAAATCTGTTGTACATATAGCCAGGTCTCCCTCCACTCCCAGTAGATGGTACCGTTGGTACACTTTGCGGGTTCCTAGGGTGCTTTTGTTTCTCAAGTCCTTGTGACTGACTGGACCTTCTCCGGCAGCAGTGCCCAACTTGCCTCTGCCTCAGCCCGCCTCTGTTGCGCTTCTTTCGTATGGCCATTGAGTTCGAGACAATCCGCCTCGAGACCGACAGACACGTGAGTCCACATTGAGTTTCCCCATCGCTTTACCATATGGGTTGCTGCCCTTGCGCATTTCATCCCCTGCTCATCCACCGTCCCTTTGAACAGCTTGTCCTGCATGTAGATCAACACAATTGAGGTTGTTTGCCCGCTACCGATGGATTTTGCCGCATCCATTGCACTTCGCAAGTACTGTTTGGCAGTCAACAATGAGGAAGACAGCACAGAGATGAGCAGCGAGTAGTGTGCCTCTATGTATTTGTTCCCCGAGTTCTGGACAGCAGTATCCAGGTTTCTGACGAGATAATTGAGTTGATTGTGTTGAGGATGACGAGGATTGTGTAGGATTAAGGCAGAATTCATGGCAGCCAGGATGCAAAAGTCGCGCCTCACGTCCGAGGCTGCGTGGTAAGAGCTTGATCTGTTCTGGGGTACTCTGGGCCCATCTGAGGGCGAAGTCTGGGAGGAAGCAAGGCTGAAAGTGGGAGACTGATAGATCTCAAGGGCGGCTGTGAGATTGCCAGTCCCCTGTAATATAGACCCCTTCAAGTAAAGTAAGCAGTATCTCATGTTGACAGGAAACAGATCGCTCATATCCTCCGAAATGGTGGTAATCTGGGTCAATGTCTCGTTTGCCTCTTCCCAACTGCCCTTTGAGCATTCCAAGAAACAGGTGAGAAAGAGGAATTGGGCTTCGAGCTGTCTGCGAAATATGTACGCTCCCTGTGACAGCTGATGGCCTGTCACGCACATTGATTGGCCCGAGGAACGTAGGACGGAAAGGCCACTTGCTGCAAACTTCTCTGCCTTCCCGCTGTCGGCACCGTTTTTGTAGGCAGAGCTGTCAGCGCTGAAGAGGAAAGCCAGCGCCTCGACTTCCTCACCTGTCAGCCAAGAAAACGTTATAAAGTACTTGCCATCTCTTTCGATAACGTGTCCATTGGCATGAATTTGAATCCCAGCGATTGATCGTTTGTTGACAGGAATATAGACGAGGCCATCCTCCCGCCAGTTAGGATGCTGAACGGCCCCATAAAGGACAGAATGGAGTGATTTGCGCTTCTGCTCCGTCTGTTCGACATCCGCCTCCCGAATACTGCATGACAGATCGATGAAATCCATCAATATCTTCATCTGTGGTAAGTTCTCACTGTCGGGGTCTTGTTGCAACGACCTTGCTTTTGCTAGAGCCGTGTTTGTGGCCGTGATTGCATCATGGCTCAAACTCGATAGATGCAACAACGCCTCAAGTAAAGAGGCAAAGGCAAAGACAAAGTTGTCTCCATTTTGACGAGCCAGGGTCGCAATCTTCTCTAGCTGGACGGTGGCACTGTGGACTTCACCTAGAGCAGAAGATGCCAATGAGAATATGGCGTGTTGAAATTGGAAGATGTATAGCCACACCGTATGCCGGTACGCTTCGGCATCGTTGATCATCCTCTCCATGTCTCGTAGTGCGGCTTTGGGTCTAGACTCGTACAACACTTTGGACAAGAGAAGCTGCATCTCATATTTCAAATCAACGAGCTTATGCCGTTCACAGAGGTCTATCGCTTTTGTCAATCTTGTCTCAGCTTCGTCATAATTTTCTGTCTCTTCGTAGAGAATTTGACCATATCGCAAGGAAACCTGAGCCTCCCGCAACGGAGCAAGTTTGAAGTTGGCGAGAGTAGACTCGAGGCAGCCGAGTGCAGTAGCGATGAGTTTGAAATATTCATCAGTCAGGGCGGTTTGTTCGCGTGCCTCCTTGAGATAGTCGTCAGCTAGGACACACAGCAAGGAGGGATAATCGAGCTCGGGAACAATAGCAGCATCGTCGTTACGATGGGTTCTAGGAGCAGGCTGGTTCGGGTTTTCGTCTGTCTGCCTGGCTTGTGATACGCGAGGTTGGCTTTGCTGAAGAGTTCTTGGCCGCGTTATTACTTCGATTGTCGACTCCGGATCTTCCAGGCTCGCCTGTAGATTAGTTACAGCCAGATTAGGGTTTGGAATGTGGAGGGACCCATTGGGCTGTTGCTGATTATCCGATCTCTGGTGATTGGGAGGCTGCGGATGGTTCTTCTGCGGTGGCGGCTGCTGGAAGGATTGAGAGGGAGATTGTGGCAGAGGATGAGCCTGAGCACTGAAGGTCTGCAGAGGGCGAGACTGGAGATCGGGTTGAGGATGGTGCTGTCGGTGTTGCTGTTCCGGGGGAGACGGGCGGTAAGGATTTGGAGGGACCATGATCTGTATGCCAGGCCCTGGAGATTGAACAGGAGGCTGAACCACCGTTTGTGGCGGGTAGATTGGCCACTGCACGACCTGAGGTGGATTCTCCTGGTCGACGGATACGAAGTCTTCGTAGGTCCCCGGCTGAGACAGAATGTATTGCGGCTCCTGCCAAGGCAGTGGTTGGAATATCCCTTGCGAGTGGTGATATTCCCGAAGGGGTTGAGACTGAGACAGTGGTGGCAGCTGAGGTCGAGGTTGAGGTTGAGGTTGAGGCTGCGGTTGAGGCTGATACTGATGCTGAGGATGATACTGAGGCTGATACCGAGGCTGGTACTGAGGCTGAGGCTGAGGCTGAGAGGTTGGTGGTGGAAGAGGACGCTGTGCCTGCGCCTGGGGGAAATTGTGGTAGAAGGAATCGAAGGAATGGCGGTTGGGATCCATGGTGGAAGCACCGCAGGCAGGCTGGAAGGAGGCGCCTTGCCTTCTCGCAGTCAACTTGCGTGGTCGTCCTAATTACAACACCGCTGACGAACGCGTTTCGCCAGCCCGCAATCGAGAGGACATCCGCCTCTTCTTTTCAGCCTGCTGGCCACAGGTGGCAGCCAACCTCTGCCGTTTAAGCTGGGCCAAATTCGCAGGCTCGCCGACGCTGCTCCTTATATTCAGACGGATGATGTTGTCGCCTCGCCTCAACGCTTGGAAGAAACTGTCAAACTGTCTTTGCTGCGCGTCCCAACGTTCCAACGACCGCAATCAGAGCACCACGTTAGTCTCGGGCATCTCCAGATCCTCTTTTATGGTCGTTTACTTGTGTTGGGGCTTAAGAGCGGCCCAAAACTCGCAAGAACGGGAATCAAATGAACACGAAGGAGGTGGTTACAATGAGCGCTTTGAGGGCGGCGGTCGACGCGAACCCACCCCAAACCTGTCCTTTGCCCCATTGGCGCGCCACCATTGACATCCAGCTACGCAGGAGTATCACTAATAGTGAACGACCTTCTTCTGCTCAGCACCGAAGCTCAGTCCAATCGTGACTACACATTACACGCCCGACAATGGAATGAACCTTTACTGGTGGTGGAGGACAGGTATAAAATGTACAAAGACTTTGTGGCTTCGGCCCTTGAACAGGCAAATAACCATCCAGTCGTCACGGCTGTTGTCGGAGTCGCGCTGCTGGCAACACTGGCAACAGCTCCAGCCAGAATCTCTGAAATGGGGAAGGCGAAGTACTGGCACTCGACGAAATCCCTCCGTTTGAAAATGAAAGATGGGCGAGCCACCTCCTTTGCCGACATGTGCAGAGCTATCGTCCCTCCATGCCGACTCAATCCGTTTCTGTTCAATGGCCACTTACAAACCATGTGGTCGGTCCTGACTCGCGAATCAATCCCCATCTACTATAAACGGCGCATCTTTGAGCATGAAGATCCAACCTATACCGGGCAATTTGCCGTTGACTTTGTTACGAAACCCAACAGCGGTCATAATCCAAGTCTACCACCGCGGACCACGTATTTTACGGAGGCAGAATTCAGCAACATTGCGTCTGACGACAGTCGGCCTATGCTCGTCATGCTTCACGGACTGAGTGGAGGGTCCCATGAGCTCTATCTTCGCCATGTCTTGGAACCCCTAGTAGGAGAGGGAGGTTGGGAAGCATGTGTCGTTATTTCCAGAGGGTGTTCTATGACCAAGATCACCACCAGCGTTCTTTACAATGCACGTGCAACTTGGGACATCAGACAAACGGTGAAGTGGTTGCAGAAGACATTTCCGAATCGTCCTCTGTTCGGTATTGGGTTTTCACTAGGTGCCAATATCATAACCAATGTGAGCAGCCGCCAACCAATTCTCTCGATAGGTCGCTGATGTGTGTAGTATCTCGGCGAGGAAGGAAGCGATTGCGTCCTTAAAGCCGCCATCATCCTGTCCAACCCCTGGGATCTTCAGGCTGGCAACCTGGCTTTAATGAGAACTTGGTTTCATCGAAACGTCTATGCCGCAACGATGGGCGGAAGTATGAAGAAGCTGTTCGAGACGTAAGTCACTCTCGCATATACCGCATACCGATGTTGACATTTCCGTCTCAGCCATGCGGAGCAAGTTTCCCAAAATCCAAAAATCAACGTTGATCTCATCCGGAGTGGGAAGTATCTGCGAGACTTCGATCGGTACGTTGTCAACCCATCTGTAGCTTCCAGGCTGCTAATCATCCCAGATACGTCCAATGTCCGACCTGGGGCTATCCCACCGAGGGAGCATATTATCGTGATGCGTCGTCAGTTGATTCAGTGCTTGCCATCAGAATACCCTTCCTAGCCATCCATGCAGAAGATGATCCGGTGAGTTGCAGGCCAGGCTGGTATCCGTTGGCTGACTGACGTTGTAGGTGACCACAAGTGAAGCTTTGCCGCGCCGTGAGGTGCAGCAGACGCCCTACGGCGTTCTTTGTACCACACCGGGCGGTGGCCATCTTAGCTGGTTTGAACTCGGTAGCAGGAGATGGTTTACTAGAGTCGTATGTTAACATCTCAGTCGTGACTCTGTGATGACCCTTGGACTGACTGCTGATGTCTGTAGACAACCCCATTCTTCCAAACGATGGCCCGAGAGATCGACCTGGATGCCATCTCGAAGTCCGAGGGCAATGAAGAGCAGCTTGAAGGGCAGATATCTCGGGCAGATCGAGAACCCTTGAAACCCGTCTTTCACCCGATGAGGAGAAAGATGCAGATGCCTGGCGAGTAGACCAGCGTTAGACACCCCCCAAGGTGACATAGACGTGGACGAGAGGGCCCATAGACGCATAGAATATCACAGATCCTCTCTCTCTCTCTCTCTCTCTCTCTCTCTCTCACGCAAAGGACACTCGTTTCTTTGGCTTCCCGTTCTTCCTTCCGTCGGCCTTCTGCTTGTCAACCTCTGGCCCATTCTCGCGCGGCGCATCGTATCTCTTCTTTCCCTTCTTCAAGTCCTTTTTGACTTGATCCAATTCTGCCTGCTTCTTCTCTTTCTTCTTTTCCATCTCCATCCTTCGGGCTTCTCGAATTTCTTCCAGCTGCCTCGCCTTGATCATCTTGCTCTCGATCTGCCCCTCCTTCTCTGCATTCACCAAGGCCAGGATCGTCATCATACCCTCCTTGTCGTCCACAAACACCTTGCCCTTCTTCTTGCCTCGCGGCTTTTCCACGCCGACCGGGGTGATCATGTTCAACGCCGGTAGCTTCAGCTCCTTGTCCGTGTACGTCTTTTGTCGGCGTTTGGACGGCTTGGCGCCAGAGGAGGCCTTGAGGGTCTGGGAATGCACGCCTGGTTTCGTCTTGACCTGTTTCGAAGATGGGCGTTTGGAGACTTTGGACTTTAAAGTCGAGGGGCCTGCCGTGGCGGATTTGCGGGCTTTAGGATTGCTTCTTGAGCCTTTCGCGGCCGATGGTGGTGGTCGGACCGCCATTCTGCTGTCCTGGAATGGACTGACTATGCCGGATCCTAGATCGCAGGAATAAATGAGAGGCGTGTGTTTCGAGGGGATCAAACTCCGCCGTGGGTACCTATGTTGAACACTGGGGTATGTATTGCTCCGTACCTATTGGGTATATCGTACTTCTGGAAGATGCCTGTACGCTGGACACAGTAAATATTTACAGTACGCAGTATACTATCAGAAAAACGATGGGCCTTAGCCGGAGATCTACCGGGGCAGCGCAAGGGGAAATTTTCTTTGACACTGCGACACCGCACCTGACTTATTCTTGGGGAAGTCAACGTCATCAATGACTTTAGGGCCACCACCAGGCATGTTTGTGTTCGTGAGGAGCTGACTGAGCTTCGGTCTTGCTCTCATGACCAAACTTGAATGACCACCGACCACCACCGAGTCTACTGTGAGCAAGCTCTCGACTTTACTACTGTGTAATAAAGAGGGTGTGCGGGGGTGTGTATGTGTTTGAGACATTCAACATTGTGAGCTCGTCTGCTGTCTGCTTTCCCTACCCTCGACTGTCCCAGGCCCCACGATGCCGCCGCCCTCCCACGTCAAAGACATCGCTCCGCCGGAACACCTCACCTCGGTGGCCGCGAGCGGCTTCGCCTCTGGTGTGTTGCGGTTCGGCACGATCTCGCTTCTGACGCACTTCTTGCTGAACCGCACCAACCCCATCTACCGCGGCCTGACGGTGCAGTTCAAAGTGTACATCCAGATCAGCGCCATGACGCTGGGCGGCTGTATCTTCGCGGAGAAGCAGGTCACCGACTACAACAATGCTGTGAGACGGCGGAATCGTGCGCTGGAGAGATCGCGGCGCGCCTGGAGTGAAGAGATGGAGATCAGAGAGCAGGCGGAGCAGAGGGCGACCAAGGCTCAGATGGCGGCCGCGGCCAAGACCATAACAGACGACGGACAGTGAGACGTCAAGCAAGGTGCGCCCGAACAAGAAGGAAATTGGCCAGCCACCGCATCTATGCACACACTACGGTGTAGTGAAACAGAAGAAGCAATGGACAGAAGAGGGACTCCTGTCTAAGCTTCTTTTCCGCGTCTTCTCGTCAAACTCAGGAGCAACACACCATTTCCGTATCTCACGCCCTGTCTAGAGCCACACGGACCTGAAGACATGGAGAGGGCCATGGCTTGGTCTTCGGAGACAACCTCGTCAGAGTGTGTTAAGACATTCCGGCCGTCGTGCGTGCTCTTGTAATTCTCCTGTCTCGGGAACCTGTCCATGAGAATCAACGATTCGGAATCTAGTCGTGCCAAACAAAAAGAAAGGAGTGGCAGGCCCGAAATCCTCCACTGTTCGAAAGACCGTTGGCTTGCAAGGTCAGCCTTGACATGCTCTGGGCGACCCTGTGGTCGGTGGCTGTCATATCATCACCGCGCATTCCGACCCACTGCAGTTCCCGTCACCGAAATCGACTCACAGGGTCGGTGGCTGTCATATCATCACCGCGCATTCCGACCCACTGCAGTTCCCGTCACCGAAATCGACTCGAGCCAAATATAAGCCGGGCTCCATGATGGAACGGCAAGTCCTTCTGTTCCTCAACTAGCTACTGCGGCCAAGAACGCTGGAAAACCTGTGTCGTCGAATTCGATCCAGCCTGAAAGATATCTTGATTATGCCCTACAGCACCAGCTAGGAAAAACTGAGCCTGGAATTGTTGGCCAATTAAGCCAGAATAAACGTCTTATTACAACTGATATTAAAGGAGGGATCTTCTATCTGGCGGGTCCCTTGGACACGTTGCTTCCAAAGAAGAGACGCCAAACATGCCAGGGCGACAATGAACCCAAAAGAACGTCGGTTCTGTATTTTTGCCCTTGGGCCTCCAGAGACAACAATGGCCTGCACTGTGCTTGCTGATGCGGCCGTCACAAATTTCATCTGTTCCTTTTCTATATTTAGCCCTTCGAACACCCTAGAGGAATTCGTTTTTCTCTTCTCAAACGCCTTCGCTCAAAATAAAAAAAGAGGCATGAACAAGCAATGGTTGCTGACTTCCCGAACCCTGACTGGGTAGACTCTCGATGATTCCCACACCGTATATAATTGGCGACCCTCAAGCGAGACAGATTCTTTTCAAACCTCATGAGAGATCTGGGATAGAAAGTAGATTTCGTTGTAGGGACATCAGGCGTCATGCTGCTCCACCAGCTCGTAGGTTTGCTGGGACCCGCTCCATTTCCTGAACAGTGGTACCCCTGAGACCACGGGGAATCGAAACGCAGCAAGACGTGGACTCGCTCCGGCGGCACGTCTTCTGGCGCCCAAGGTGATGACACGAGAGTACAGCCACCAGATGGCCAATCCCACCACGGCCGCGAGTAAGAAACCCAAGACGGTGAGAAGCAGCCAATTTTTGCCCATCCAGAAAATAAACCTTGCGTCCTTGCCGTGCCAGCTGTCACCTTTGTAGGTTTTGAAGAAACTCCAGGCATGCTTATTGTATTCGTCGGGCATCAGGACTCGCACTCGACCGATCCACTTGTCGGGGTCTAGGTGAGCATGTTGGCCCATCCATTTTTTCCAGATCACCGACAGGAACAACGGTCCAGTAGAAGCCATGATCGTGATATACGGCAACAGCCACGATCTATTGGCGCCTTGAAGAGATTCCATGACTCGCAGGAAGAAGGGGTGCTGGGGAATGGCAGCCATGACATCGTTGCTGATGCCCGTGGGGCGTGTTCGACGGACCCATGCGGTGTAGGAGAGGAGAGGGTCAAGCCTTCGTTTACAGCCGTCGTCCAGATCAATGTAAATGCCGCCATAATGAGCCAGTACAAAGTATCTGATGGCGTCGGCCCGTTGAATATTGTGTTTATATCCGACGAAAGTCGACAAAAACCACGGATACTCCTTGGCGATGAAGTCGTGACATTTTGCATCCGTCCACAAAATATATTCGTAGTCCGGGTGCAGGTCTATGCAAGACTGCTGGGCCGGCTTCCAATTGGGGGGAATGGACTCGTTGATGTATGTTTGGTGAATGATTTTGGGTATCAGCTGCGGCCGCGTTTCGAGCAGCGTCGAGTTCGGAGCGGGCAGCTCTGATCGGTGAATGGCGTCGGCGGACGCGTCTTCAATTAACAGGGAGAGTAGAGTCGAGACTGAGTGCAGAAGGAGGGTGACAATGACAACCGTGGCGAGGAGGAAGATCAGCAAGCTGCGGCGCATCTTGACGAGTGTGACGGGCTAACCCTGCCCATGTGCAATTACGGTCTCCTTGACGCGGGTATAATTGTGCGCTGCTCTATCTTCCAAAAGGCCCAATGTAGTCTGCGGTAGCAATGTTTTTGCCTTCTTTTTCCTTTCGCAAATCGTGAGAGAGAAGGGCGCAATGGTGGACCAAGGGGATGTTGAGAACCTAGGAGAGAAGGGAAATTAAGGAGGGAGGCAGGTGGAGGCGGAAAGAACCATTGAATGCATTGTTCGACTGGACGGGGCCGATGAGGAGTAGGTCAAAAAGGCGTCTGCTGGTATGAAAGAGGGAAGAAGCAGGCCGAGAAAGAAATAGGCGGGAGAAGTCAAAAGGAGTGTGTGGTAAGGTAGGGGGGTGGAATGAAGGACAGTATAGGTGGAAGTGAAAGGTGAAGTCGTACTGGACCATCGCAGTCTGGCTGTTCTGTTTGGGCGGCCGGTCAGTGGGCAGAAAAAGTGCAGAGGGCCAGAGCGCGTGGAGGGGCTTTAGGGGCTTGGGCGAAATCGGGTTAGAAGTTGCGAGCGCAGTGTGGCAGTGCACGCTCCCTAGCCGGAGAAGAAGCCCGGCGCGGTGTTCGCTACGTCTTCGATCCACCACGATGCTGGGTGGATGCAGGGGAAATACGAGTAATACGAGTATCATCATCGATGCCATCCAATGTCCATCCATCCAACCATCCAGTCAATAATCATCTACTCCGTACTCCGTACTCTACATGTCACCGCCCCCCAAAGCCTTCTTCTCGACACGCACACACTATCAGAGTACACGCACGCACTACCGAGTACACGCACGCCGCTTAGCCCGTTCATTGCCTGCCCACCTTCGTCGGTCTTTCTCACTGACCTCCATCTCCTCCCTCCTCCCACCGTAGCTGCCACCTCTTATCTGCTCCAATGCGTCATCTCTTACTAAGATCCCGTGATCCCAACGACGACTGGCTGCGACGACGGGCCACGTCAGCTCGTACAGTACAGAGTACGGAGTACTTTGGACATATTCAGAGGCCTGAAGGATTGCAGATCCTAGCAACCCCCATTCAGCTCTGCAGGAGGTTTACATCCGGAGAATGGGTTCTGTCAATCCCTTCTAATCTTGATAATTCCGGTACATCATCTAGCATCACCTTCTTTCAAGTCATATACATCGAGGTACGTTCCTCTCAACCCCCCAAAAGTCTATCATCTGCTTGCTCTGCAAGCCCAAAGTTCTGGGGTATCAAAAGAAGTCAATCGATCTTGAGAACCACACAATCGCCTGTGTACATTTCC